GTGTCTGTTCATGTCCTGTGCTCATTTTTGAATTGGGTTATTTGTCTTTTTCTTGTGGATGTGTTGTAGTTCCTTATACATTTTAGAGGATAATCCCTTGTCTGATAGATATGTCACTGCAAAAAAAATTTTTTTCCCATTCTTGGGCTCCCTTTTACTCTTTTGCTGAAATCTTTTGATGCACATAAGTTTCTAATTTTCAGTATGTCCCAGTCCTCTATTTTGTCCTCTGTTGTTAATGTGTGTTTTTGCCATGTTTGATGATCTATGTATGCCATGTATTAGAGCCATTATTTGTCCCGATTTTTTCACTGATGATCTTTATAGCTCTGGAATTTACATTTAGACCTTTAATCTATGTTGAGCTAGGTTTTGTATATGGTGAGAGATATGTGTCTTATTTCATTCTTTTGCAAAATAATTTCAGTTTTGCCAGCACCATTTATTGAAGAGACGATCTCTTCCCCATTTAATGTATTTTGGCTTTTTGTCAAAGATCAGTGACTGTATGTGGATGGATTTACCTCTGGGTTCTCACTTCTGTTCCATTGATCTATGTGTCTTTCATTGTAATGAAACCAGGCTGTTTTGACCATTGTGGCCATGTAGTGAGTTTGGAAAGCAGGAAGTGAGAGGCTTCCCACTTTGTTCTTTATCTTAAGCAGTACTTTGCTTATAGATCTCCTTCCCTTCCATATAAAGTTCGAGGTCGTTTTTTCCATCTCTTCAATGAATTTTGGAATTTTGGAATCTGGATTGGGATTGCATTATATATGTAGATTGCTTTGGGTAATATTGACATCAGAGGTTTATTTCAGTGCATGTCTCCTCAAAGTGGGAAATTCATCATTACTTATGTAATGTTTATAGAACTTAAGCAGTGGGAGGTTATTGTACCTAACTCTCAGCTAGTCACCGCTTTGTAGCTGAATGATTTCCTGTTGTTATCAGGTTATCAGGTTCATCAGCTTGTTCCACACTGAATGGTGTAGCAAAGATGTTCAATTCCATT